CTCCTATGGGAGTCTGAGACATAGAATGGCCATGAAGATATTTTGTCCCCTGAGAATGTGGGGTGTGCAACCCCTTGGGAGGTGAGGTTGACTTGTGCATGTCCCTGTAGCCTGTATTTCCAGAGATGCTACAAGACCAGGCTGAAGCTGACTTGCATAGAAAAGTGGGAGCTCTATAAAACCATCTCATTGGTAGTAACAATAAGGTTGTGGAGAAAAGGGGCTGCTTCCAGTAGTGAGGGGAACCTTAGGAAGGGAAGCCCACAGGGTACAAATCAATCTGCCACTCTTTGGGAGTTCAGAAAATACCAGGTCTTTCTGGAAACATGTAGCCCCAAATTAGCAATCTGTACACAGCGAGTTAATACAAGAATGGCCATTCATTAGATGCACATAAGCACAGTTTGCATTATAATGTTCTTCCTGGTTCATTTCTGGGAAGTAAAGCAACCTTGGGGGCATTTTGAAAATAGCTTTCCGTGAATCCCACTCTAGGGGTAATCCGATTGGGTCATGCCAGTAAGGGTCCAGTGGGAGTCTGCACCAGATGGAGCTAATTCCGGACCCTTGTCATTTGGTTGTGGTTTCTAGGACAGCAGGATGGGCATCAAGAATTGTCTCCAGGAGCTGAGTCTCAGTCCCTCTCTGACCTCTTGACAAACTGCATTTTAACAAGAACCTGGGTGGTTTGGGCAGAAGGCTGCCAGATACATATGATACGATATAGGACAAGTTCTACCAAACATTTTAGAAAACCAACAAGCAAATTTTTAGTTTACAATTCATGCATGTTTAAGACTTGCTATTAAAGTTATTTCTCTTTGCCTGGAACTAAAGTCTAATGTAATTGCCTGTATTTATAATTTGATAAATTTCTCAACCCTCTCTGGGTGTACAGTCTAGGCTCTACCATAACTCGTTACCCCAACACTGGCATCACAGAGAGGTCCCCTAGGATTTGTAAATAATCTGTGGAGAATATATTTTTCCTATTCAATTATGATTAAGCTTTTGAGGGTCAGAGAGATAGTTCAGGGGTTAAGGCCACTTTCCTTGCATGTGACTGACCACAGCTGGATCCACAGCACTGCATACGGTCCCCCAAGCACTGCTTGGTGTGCCCCACCCTGCAAGACCCCCCAAAGTTAGAAGATTATTTTGAAAACAAGAAGTAGATATGATTAAGACTTTGAATATTAGTTCTCTTTTGTAAATAGAGATAATATTGAGGTGGTTTCTGAACCGAAACTGTCCTTTCACTTACATTCTTTGGGGGGGTGGGGGGGTAGCTTGTCTTTTGTGCTATTCTCAGCGGTGCTCAGGGTCTACTTTTGGCTCCATGATAGGAATTCATCCCCAGCAGTGCTCAGGTGACTGTGCGTGTGTAAGGCAAGCACCTTTCTGCATGATCTCTCCAGCTCTTAATTTTTACCTGTGGCTTAAATATAGTAAAAAACAACCAAACCTTAAAAACAAAAACAAAACCAAAAACACCTAACATAAGTGCTAAGTAGGCAATCCGTTGTGTATCAAAGGAGAAAATGATAGGAAATTCTTTCCTAGAGGCTTGGAAGATGCTCACGGGTGAGGGGGAAGCATATACTTTGTAAATTTGGGGGCCAGGTTCACTCCCAGGCACCAGCAGACCAGCCTGGAGCTGTCAGACCCACAAAACAGGGCTGAGGATCACTGGAGTGAACCTGAGTCCCTGAGCACTGCTGGGGAGCCCCAACCCCCAATTCTAACCTAAAGTAAGTTAAAGCACACTTGCCACTTTAGAGTTATGACTTAAAATAGCGACAAAGCCCCATCCACAAAGCATACATTTTAAAATGGCAATTTAAATATTATAAATGTCAAAAAATAGAAAATATTTAATGTAGAAAATAGTCCTTCTAAAGTCAACTCCTTCTTTGTGATTAGAATTATTATGCATATATTTGACCAAAGATGTTTTTCTGTTTTAGGGTAAAGGTGCTTGAGTAGACTTTATCAAGAAGGGAATTTGCGTGTATTTGTGTGCGTGTGTGTGTGTGTGTGTGCATATGTGTGTGTATATACACATACACTCAATCACTGATTATTAACTGTTGATTATTAACTGTTAAACTGTCACAGTCTCTCTGTAGAGAGTTTGATATCAGTATAGCAAATTTGCCCAAGTTTCGTTTTTTTTTGGGGGGGGGGTTAGGGGGCTTACTTCTGGCTCTGTGCTCAGGGATCACTCATGGTGGGCTCAGGGGACCATATGGGATACTGGGGATCAAAACTAGTCTGCTGCAAATACCCTGCCTGTTGTACTATCTCTACAGACCTGCAGATTTGCCCAGTTAATAAAATATTTGAGGAGAATTCAGACCCTACACTCACATATATTTTAGGAAATTAGAAAAACAAATGAAAAGGAGGTCCAGGTGTGGACTGGTACCAGTACTTTGCTGTATGTGATTATTCTACACATCCAGGATCTTTTTCTGTTTTTTTTTTTCCCCTTTTTGCTTTTTAAAGGGTCACACCTGGAGATGTTATTCAGGTGTTATTCCTAGCTCTGCATTCAGAAGTTACTCCTGGTGGTGCTCAGGGAACCATATAGAATTACCATATGGGTTGCCATAGATCAAACCATATGGGATGCCAGAGATTGAACCCGGGTCAGCTGCTTGCAAGGCAAGCGCTCTCCCTGCTGTACTATTGCTTTGGCCCCTAAGAATCCAGGATCTAAAGCTCAACCTCAAGAAATCAACAAATGTTGTAAAGCAAGGCAAGTTAATTCCAATAAATCTCTTTGAAGGACAGGAGATAAGGATGATAAATAAGATGCTTGACTTGCTTGAGGCTGACCAGGGTTTGATCCTCGGCACCCTGAGCACAGGGGTAGGAATAAACACCGAGCACAGCCAAGTGTGGCTCCCCCCCCCAAACAAACAACAAAACAAAAACAATGTTCCTTTGAAAACGCTTGTCCAATGACTAACCTTTGTTCTAAAATAGATGGCTGGATGGTAAACGGCATCTTATTCCAGAGGAGCATTTTGTTTTGTTCTGTTCTTAACAGGCGAGAACAGATTTTTGTTTGGGGGCTATAATGGCACTGCTCAAGGCTTATTTACTGCCTCTGTACTTAGGGGCCACTCCTGGCAGGTTCTGGGGACCATATATAGTGCTGGGGATTGAACCCTGATGGCTGAATGCAAGGCGGCTGTACTATCTCTCCAGTTCCAGAACAGATTTTAAAAACAGACCTTTGACATCTGCTGGCTTAGAACACTTGCAACACATTTTTTACATTCCTTGGGTCACAAGCCTCTTTCTCCTGCTTGCTGGGTGCCCAGAACCATTCCCTCCTGCGTCCAGCTTTATCTTGACACTTCAGGACCTCCAGCGAGACCAGGCGGGCTCAGCGCCAGCCTCCGCGGAGGGAGGCGCAGATAATCCCGGGTTAGCGGGCTCCAACTGGCCGGCTTGTCATCTGCTCCGTGCCAGGCGCTCCTCTACGAAATCTGTTTTGTCTCCTGCCGGGCTGAGTCACATAGAATAGATAGAGAGTTTATCAGCACATGTCCTCCAGATCATATTATCAGCTTACAAATATAGCCTGTTAGCACACACCGGCCCGAGGCTCCGGCGCAGGGCTGCCACAGGCGTAAACAGCCCCGCGCCCCGTTAGTCCACGTCGCGGCCAGGGCCAGGCAGGTAGGTGGTCGCCAGGGGCTGCCCGGGGCGCAGAGCGGAGCCTCCTGGACCTGGGGAGAGGGCTTGAGGGGAAGTGCAGGCTTGGGGCGCATACTTGGAGGATGCAGTGCCGGTTTGAGTCTTGCCCACAGTGTCAGGGCAGAGCAGGGGGGTAGAGGGGTGCGGTGGGAAGCATTTAAACAGAGCCCCAGAGCTCAGGGTTGAGGATTACGAGGGGTTTATCTGTTCTGTTGGGGGCCAGAGTTGGAGTTGACCGAGAAAGGAAGGAGAGAACGTGGGCGTGCAGAGCAGTAGCTGACCCTGACCCCTCACAACTCCTCCTCCCACGGTGTCCAGATTAACTGTTTGTTCACCTTGACCTCTGCAGCGGTCTCCCTGCCCAGTCCAGCTTGGAATCCTGCCTGCTGGCACGGGGACCCAGGGGGGAAGTGGTGGGAGGCTCTGCCGAGAACAGGATATAATCTGCTCCCAGAACTCAGGGCCCAGGTGTTCTCCCCATAACCTCTGCTAATCTGGGAGGGTGAACCCCCCCAGGACCCTTGTGCTTCTTCTTTATTTGTTTATTTATTTGGCTTTTGGGCCACACCTAGTGGTGCTCAGGGTTTAATGCCTGGCACTATGCTTAGGGATCACTCCTGGAAGTGCTCAGTGGATCAGATGGGGTGCCAGGGATCAGCCGCAGGCAAGGCAAGCACCCGATCCACTGTACTATCTTTCTAGCCCTCTTGCTCACATTTAATTGATAAATGAGATAGACATCACTTTAAAAAATTTGATATCGGGACTGGAGCAATAGCACAGCGGGTAGGGCATTTGCCTTGCACGCAGCCGACCTGGGTTTGATTCCCAGCATCCCATATGGTCCCCTGAGCACCGCCAGGAGTAACTCCTGAGTGTATGAACCAGGAGTAACTCCTGTGCACCGCAGGGTATGACCCAAAAAGCAAAAAAAAAAATTGATATATATATATATATATATATATTTATCTTGACTCCATGCCTGGCACTTTCAGTATGACCGTGGTGTGATCCTTACACATTCCCTGGAGCTGGGTACTGATATCAATATAGCATATTTTGACATCAGTATAGTAATAACGGTCCAGATGGGCTCAGCCAGGCTCAGAGAGCTTAGGAAGTTAACTCCTGCCCAGGCAGGTGACTCAGATGGCCTCCGGGGCTTTGCTGTGCTTTGCTGTGCCCACTAACCTCCTCTAGTGATTCACATAATGTGTTTTACTGACCTTCCTGGCTCTCCATGTACCAACTTTTTTCTGTTCCAGGGGTCTAAGGTAGTAGTAGTACATGAGGTTAGAATGGAATGAAAGTCCTTCTTTGCTGAGGGGTCTTCCACTGTACCTTGGTTACAGAAATTCCTACTGGTGGGTAGGAGAGATATGATGGGCGGGTAGGATGCTTATCTTGCATGCAGCTGACCTTGGTTTGATTCTCACTGTTACCTATGGTCCCTGAAGCCTGCTAAGGTTATTCCCTGAGCACAGAGCCAGGAGACAGCCCTGAACATCACTGGGCGTAGCTGAAAAACAAACAAACAAAAAAACAAGAAAAGAAAGAGAAATGCTCATTGATTGAATCAGCCAGATGAATCACCTGCCTCTGAGTACCATCTTCATAGCTGATAACCCTGGGAGAATGCCCTGGAAGGTCTGGAGGTGGGTCGCCCAAGGCAGAAGGGAGTCTGACTAGGGGGTAGGTGGGACAGGGGCTATCAGGCCTTTCCCCCAGGTGGGCACAGGGGACCTGGCATCAGTTTTCGCCTCATTTCCCATGTCTCCCAGCCTGGCAATCCCCTTGACTTGTGGCCGAGACACCTTGATACATCCTGTGAGTCTCTGTGGTGTTACTCACATATGGGCCACCCAGCCTGTCTGTTCTTGACTAGAGACCAGAGAGTCCCCTCCCGTGGAACCCTGGCATAGGAATGCAGAGAGGAGCGAGGGCTCGAGTGCCAGGGCACATGTTTTTCCAGGCAGGTGCTCTGTCTCTGAAGTATAGATGGACGTTTCTGACATGAGACTCTGGCAGGACTGGGATGGGGTGGGGGCAGCGTGGGAGACAATCTAGCAGCCTTTCAGCGGGTCCTTTCCCTTCCCACTGTCCTGTCCTTGGGGGAGTCTCCCTGCCTGTCCTCTGGCTACCAGAGCTGCTCTTTCAGCCCTGTCCTCCCATCTCTGCACTGTCTTGGCATGCGTCCCTTCAGCATCTGTGCTCCCTTCTAGGTGGGGACTTGGCTGCATGTACTGAGTACCCAGAACTGTCACTTCTTAGGGTGCCCTTGAATCGAAGGGCAGATGGAACCTAATAACCTAGGAACCCGAAGCCTGTCCGGTAGGCCTCAGTATGGGCTTCAGAAGCAGGAGTCTGTGTCTGCCGCCCTCATGGTTTCCCTGGTTCCTCCTGTCTTTGACCCTGTGCCTGTGCAGAGTCCAGTGGCCAATTTGAGGGGATCAGATGCTGAACTCAGATCTGGGAGTTGCAGGTTCTTCTCAGTTGGAGGCATAGACACATAACATAGAAGGAAGCAAACGATCAAGTCATTGAGTTTTTCTATTATGTGCCACGAAGGATATACACCACAATCCAAGAGAGAAAAGAGTGGGGGCCTCCCTTAGGTTCTGACCCAGGCTAAGGAGGAGTCACTGCAGCTGAGTTTGGGGGGGGTGTATCAGGGGAAGCTGTGGAATTGGGGGAAAATTTCAAGGCAGGGGAGCAGTGTGGACAGAGCTCTGAGGTGGGAGAAACTGTGCAAGATGGGCATGTGAGGGGGGTGGGATTAGGGGCTGGTGTCTTCCTCTTGCTCCTAGGGAGGCTCCAGAGGACTCGAGCAGAGCAGCTATTGTTTATATTTATTTATTTATTTATTTATTTATTTTTGGGTTACACCTGTGATGCACAGGGGTTACTCCTGGCTCTGCACTCAGGAGTTACGCCTGGCGATGCTCAGAGGACCATATGGGATGCTGGGAATCGAACCCGGGTTGGCCGCCTGCAAGGCAAACTCCCTACTATACTATCTGTACTATACTACAAATAGTACTATACTGTACTATCTCTCCGGCCCCAGGGCAGCTATTGTTGAGAAACAACTCTCATGCATGGGTGTGTGGCAAGTGGATTGGACACTGGTGAACTGAAAGTTTGGAGACCAGGTATGAGGTGGCACTAGAAGGTGGTGAGAAAAACATGTCCTCTGGACCTAAACAATAAATTGGATGCATGAGTGTTGGTGTGAATGTGTGTGTGTGTGCACGTGTGTGTATGTGTGTGAGAGTGAATATGAATGTGTGAACCAATGAGTGTGTGTGCACACAGGAGTGTGAGAGTATGAGTCTAAATATGGCATGTGAGTGTGTGTGTGTATGTGTGTGTGTGTGTGTGTGAGAGAGAGAGAGAGTGTGAGAGAGAGAGAGAGAGAGAAGAGCGAGCATGTGTAGATGTCCACATAATGTGTGGATAGAGTGAAGAAATAGCATAAAGGAGTATGGGCCAGATATTGATGGGGTCCAGAAATGGGATTAAGGCAGCCTGGGGTGTCTGGAGGAATCATGTGTCTCTGAGGTCTGGGTGAAACATCCAAGTGTCTGAGTCAAGGAAGCAATTAGGCATAGAAAGCGGCATCACTGTAGACGAACTCTCTTTAAGTGCCCCAATTTTCCTGTCTACCACAGGAGTTACTTGTTTTGCACAAGTCACTCCAATGCTCTAAAACAACTTAAAACAAAAAAGACATTTATTTTCCCAGAGTTTCTGAGGGCCTGACACCCAGAGTGGCTTTACGGAGTGACTGTGGCTCAGGGTCTCCCTGGAAGTTGTAGTCAAGCTGCTGGTTGGGCCACAGCCATGTGAAGGCTGTGAAGATGGGCGGGGGCAGGCGGCCTGCTGACTGCTGACTGCTGACACTGATGTAGACTCTTGGTTTCCCTGGGGAGCCCTCCACAGGGTGACTCCAGTGTCCACTCCACAAGGCAGCTGAATTCCCAGAGTGAGTAATCGGAGAGAGAGAGAGCAGGAGCTCATCTCAGACTCACCCTCTCATTCTGCTCCTTAGAAGTGAGTAGAGCTGAAGGAATTCAGCTCTACTCTCCCACTTCCCCCATTGCTTTTTGTTGTGGCAAATAAACATAAGATAGATTTTACCATCATTGCCGTTATAAGAACTGGAGTGATAGCACAGCGGGTAGGGTGTTTAGCTTGCATGCAGCTGACTCGGGTTCGATTCCTCCGTCCCTCTCGGAGAGTCCAACAAGCTACCGAGAGTATCCTGCCTGCACGGCAGAGCCTGGCAAGCTACTTGTGGCATATTGGATATGCCCAAAACAGTAACAACAAGTCTCACAATGGAGATGTTACTGGTGCCCGCACGAGAAAATCAATGAACAATGGGACGACAGTGCTACAGTGCTATGGTTATAAAGTTTAGTGGTGCTATGTACATTCATATTGTTGGGCTAACATCACCAGAAGCCTTTCATCTGTTAGAACTAAAACTCCAGCCCATTAGCACGTCACTCCCTTTCTCCCACCTCCTGGACCACTCCTCTGCGTTTGACTCTGTGATTTGGTTTGGATAAGCGCTTTGTATACATAGAATTATACAGTCTTTGACTTTGTGTCATGAGTTTATTTCAGTTAGTTTAATGTCATCAAGCTTTGTCCATGCTATAGCATGTGCCAGAAATTTCTTCCTTTTTAAGTCCAAACCGTCACTGGATGTCGGTACATTTTGCTTATTCAAGGGCTCTTGTGTTACCTCCACATTTTAGCTATTGGGAATAGTGCTGCTCTGGATATGGGGGTGCAAATGACTCTTCCACAGCTTGCTTTGAGTTATTTGAAGAATATACCAGGCTGTTTGTAATATTCATTCATTCCTGTTGGAGAGCCCGGCAAGCTACCGAGAGTATCCCGCCCACAGGTGCAGAGCCTGGCAAGCTCCCCGTGGCATATTCGATATGCCAAAATCAGTAACGACAATAGGTCTCATTCCCCTGACCCTGAAAGAGCCTCCAATCATTGGGAAAAGACGAGTAAGTAGAGGTTGCTAAAATCTCAGGACTGGGAGGAATTTAGATGTTACTGGCACCCGCTCGAGTAAATTGAAGATCAACGGGATGACAGTGATGCAGTGATACCTTATATTTTGGCAGGGAAACATTGGGCCCAAGTGCTGCTCAGGATGTGAGTTGTTCTACAACTGGTCTGAATGGCTCAGTGCTTGGCCTGGTGAGGTGGTGCTGCTTGGGCCCAGCCATTCTGGTGGCCTCTAGGCAGTGGTGTTGGGGGGGTAGGGTGGGGTTATACTGTGCTGGGGCTTGAGCCCTGGGTTTATTCATGGAAGGGGTAAATCCCTGACCTCTGTGCTGTCTTCCTGGTCCTAGTTCCACTTTTGTTTGTTTTTTGTTTGGGGGCCATATCCAGTGGTGCATAGTGCTTACTCCTGTTGTGTGTTCAGGGATTTCTTCTGGTAGGGCTTGGGGAACCATATGGAGTGCCAGGGTTCAAACTTGGGTTGGCAGTTTGATCCCTGGCAAATACACCATGCTCAGTTCTACCCTTTTAAATGGAAGCATGTCAAGGAATTCTTGGCTATAATTTTTAAAAGCCATTAAATTTGTCGAAGGGAAAAAAATTGCATTTTACTTTTCACTGAGACTGGGACCAACAAATTCTCACCCACAGGCATGGCATGTGAGCACTATTAGAGCACATGGGACTGTGAGCCCTGGAGACTTAGTCAAATGTCCCCTGTGTCATTGTTCCCCCTCTCCACTCAACCCCTATCCATCCAGCAAGATGTAGCTGGCAGCTGCTCAGGGCGTATAGTGGTCGCCGTGCAAATGTCCAACTTAGACACTAAGCAGGAGCTGGTGACTTAGCAAGTCCTCTTGTCTCCAACTTGCTGCTCAGAGTGAGATGGTCAGTAGGAGAGGACATATAGGGATTGGGTGTCACTGAAACAGAGCATGAGGCTGACCAGGGATTGTTCCCTCCCATATCACTCTGCCGTCTTTCACTTGTCCTCAGATTTTCTCCCAGGCCAATGCAGGGCGGGAACAGCCAGCGTGCATGAGTGGGCCAGCAAGCTGGCTGCAGGGGCAGCCTGAATAGGGCATGGGTGGGGCAGCATGCTGGCTGCACTCATGGCCTTTCCTGTTTTCTCTTTTTTTGTTTTTGGGTCACAGTATCCATTGCTCGGGGTCTATTTCTGGCTCTGTGCTCAGGAGTGACCCTGATGGTATTCGGGGGACCATATATGGTGATGGGGTTTGGAAGGAGTTGGTAGGAGACGAGGCCAAGCACCTTAGCCCCTGAACTACCTCTTCTCTTATTTGCAAGGACTGACATGATAGCTTAGTTTTTGCCTGGCATATTTATGGTCTTGCCGTGACTAATTATAAAAGAAAGAAAGAAACTTTGCTGACTGCTGCAGTAAATCAGAAGACATTTCCTGGAGGAATTTTCTTTTCCACCATGAATCCAAGGTCTAAGATTCTCCGGTTGTTGATATTTCACGGGGGGCCTGGAAGGCCACGTCCTGGAGAGCAGGAACCTGAGCACACTCAGTGCTCTTTTGTCCTCCCAGGTTCTTTCTTTTTGGGAAGATGCGCTGTACTGTGGACAGTACAGAGCCAATCAGGAGAGTCTGTGCACA